GTTATTATGTCGCCCCGAACGAAGTCGGGGACGACATATTGATATTGTACGCATGTTTTTTTTATCCAGGCTGTTTCTCGGAGATGGCTGGGACAATCTTCCTGAAACTTTCCTCAAAGGACGATCACTGGTTGTAGTTGTGCAGTGAGGTCGTTCAGTTCCAATATGTCTACCGTTGCCATGGAAACCTGTAAAAAGCGACAAATTTTGTCCGAGAGTGTTCTCTCTGGTCCCTTAAACGTTCGTCATGAAACTTTTCTTATTTTAAGGATTAGTATCTGTAGTTGTGCGCTTCGCATTTAAAATTTTCAAATAATCGATTATTGCCATGGAAACCAGGTGAAAGTTAAAATTCTTTAATTTCGATTTTCTCAATAACTACTCAGGCAATCGTTTTGAAACTTTCAATGTTAATTCCTTGCAATGTGTCAAAGTGATTTCTACTTTCAAAATAATTGTAATGAGTCGCTCACAGTTGCCATAGAAACGAAACAGAAAAAAAGATTCAGATGTACACATGTGTTCTCCAAGGTCTAGGTCAAAAGGTCAAAGTTCGTCGTATCCAATAAAAGTTCTTTTCACAAGGATTACATATTTGAAATACGAAAGCCTTAGTACTTACCGTTCAAACGTTATGGCTATTTACTATGTTCAAGACGACCCCCCCCCCCCTTTTGAAGAACACAGCCAGGTAGAATACACAGATATAACATATACAACTTACAAGTAACTTTTTAAAATCTTCATTCATAAAATTCAGTTCCCGTCATGTGATATTTTGCCATCATTCATTCTCCTTCTGTTTTGTCTCTTGAATTTATAAATATTTTATTTTATCTATATAAAAAAAAAATAACGATTGTCAGCTGCATTTATTATCATTTCGCGTTTTCTTGTATATCTATCACTTGTATATTATTCATTTCATTAGATAGTGCAAGTATAAATTAAAAAATTGGTACGTCATTTTCATAGTTTTTATTCAGTCAAAAATCTTTTGATCCGCTCCTGAAGGTTCGCGAAGCCTTGATCACCACTGTATACAAAACATTCATCTCGCCGAAAATGTTCATGATTCCGCTAAACTGAGAAAGTTTACACATGATTTATCATCTCATAACAAACATCAGCTCTCTGCAATGCAGAAATGCTCGAATTGATGGTGGCATGTCAGATTCGTTTTTTGGTAGAACCTCTAAAATGAAAGTGAAAGAGGGAAATTGCAGAGTTCTCACTGGCGTTACAATACACAAAATAATTCGGCTGATCTTCTTCATAGATTACATTTGCCAAGCTTTTATGATAGGAAAGATACTGCCAATTAACAAGTATGAGGCTCAGTTTAGTACATCTGCCAGATTTCTTTTATGCAAGTCTGCAAATTTAGGAACTTGTAATTTTCCTGCACTACTTTCTTCTCCTACCGATTCTAAAAATAATGAGTGGGATGTACCCAATTAAGGTCTTCCGTTTCCAATGGAAAGGACCATCATACAACTCGATGGTTGTTCAAACTTAGCTAATGGACTTTTGTTTTAGTGATGATTAAAATGAAAGTCTTGTCCAGTACGGGGCGACATATGCTATTGCTTGCAATAGCAGACTTTCTAGTTATTATTATTATTCCTGGGAAAATTTTGTCCACGAGTGATCTCGTAAACTATACATCCGACTTAGGTGAAACATTTTTAGGGTTAGTAGGCATGTTATGTACAGTTGCCAAACGAAGGTCATTTTGTGCGCACGTGCCTGCAAGAGCGCGCACGTGCAACACTTAAAATGACCAATATAATGTATACTGCCGTAACTTTTTTTATTTTTTGATGAAATGCTTTGAAACTCATAATGTAATGATATAATAGTAGTATAGACAAGATGACGTGGTCAAAATAGCAAGATCTCACGCGCATGCACGTGCGCTTTACTCTGATTGGCTGAAACTAAAGTCTCAATATCTTTCTTGTTTTTTGACGAAATCCTTTGAAATTTTAAACATAGCCATGCATTAAGATATCCTACAATAAAATATATAGCAATTATCATGAAAACACGTGTATGCACGTACGCTGCAATCTGATTGGCTGAAACTTTAAATAGCTATAACTCCCTTGGTTTTCAACCAAACAGGATAGGATTTAGAACATAGATATATATAATGGACTTCTACAAGAAGGTATGGTCACCATGTACATGCATACACGTGTGTGTACATGCGCTGCAATCTGATTGGCTGAAACTTTTAACAGCTATAACTCCCTTGGTTTTCAACCAAACAGGATGGGATTTGGAGCATAGATATATATAATGGACTTCTACAAGAAGGTTTGGTCACATACACATGCATACATGTGCTTGTACGTGCGCTGCAATCTGATTGGCTGAAATGTTAAACAGCTATAACTGCCTTGGTTTTCAACAAAACAGGTTGGGATTTAGAACATATATGTAATGAATTCCTACAAGAAGGTATGGTCAACATGCTCATGTATGCACGTGTGTGCACGTGAAATGGGAACATTGTAAAATCAAAAATACACTTGAATTAGTGTTTTTTTATATACTTTTGAATTAAATACTTTAATATTTAGCATATCAAAATATTTAGATTGTGTAGTATAATATTTCTGACCATCAAATTTTGTGCACGTGATTTCTCGAAGACTACTGGATGGATTTTTATGAAATCTGCAGGAACAATGTGTTGCTATATGCAGTTACTATATCCTGGAGATTTTTTGGAAATTCCTTTCTGGTGCCAAGTTACGGACAATTTTCTGATTTTAAATTGACATTTTATTCGTGGATAATCTAAAGAACGGTTAAAGATATCACTGTGGAACTTTCAGGGATTATAGATCTTGATAAGAACTATCGAAGACGCGATCTTTTGTACGTCGTCTCTACTTCCTGTCGTTACGGCATGCAAAGAAAAAAAGTCAAATTTTTAAACTTTTTTGTTTTTCAATATTTTCAAATCATATTAGTATGGTTGATAGAAACATTTCTCATTAGGCTTAATATATAATTTGTTTGTAAATTGATGAATTCGAACTCGAGATATTAACATTCAATAGTCTGAAGCGTGATCTTAATGGCGGCGGTCTCTGTCAATTCCGACATTTCGCAATAGGGGTTTACAGAGGCAGCTGAGCGTTTGCTTGAACGAAAGTAACATAAGGAACAATGAAATTTGAAGGGATACTTGGATTGTCACGTCGTAGGTTCATTGCAATTCGGTGTCAAACTACATTTATTATCCAAGGTCTACTTACAAGTCTTCTTTAATTGGTTTTGGTTGTTTCTCAAAGTAGAAATAGAAAAGAATTGATGTGCAAACGAAGTACAATATCTATATCTTTTGTTTTGCATAACGGTAACACATAGCTTAAATCATAGTTAAAATTAATAGTTTTTCAAGAATGTAGTAGGTAAAAAACGTGACCACTGTTTTCCCATGCACACTTGTGTCATATTAAATCAATAGAAAGGACAACTGTTACAATAAGAAAATATTTTATTTTTAAAGATAACAATTTTTCAAAGACCGTTTAATTGACCTATATAAACATTTTATTTTCTCAATGCAAGTTATTGAAGATAATAGAATCTTATTTCTTGACCCTCGTAGGGCGATCGAGGCATTTTTTTCGGTGAAACATACCACCTTTTTCATGAAAGTGTAAGTAATCGGCATAGTCAACTTTCGTGATTGAAAATTGAAAAATTACCAATTCATAGCTGTTTCGCTGCTTTAGTGTTATTTGCCTATATACGATATGTTTCATGTGTGTGTTATACTTTCCACACCTCAAAATGTAGGCTAGGCGATAAGAACGTTCTTTTGTTATTTGATTGAAGCTATCTCACCTATTTAAATGAACATTCCAAAAGATATTCGCCAAGATTTACTCGTTGCGTTTGGCGCGAAATTATGAATAGTGACCCTTCTTTCATAGTTCCAAGACAGATTAACTGTTGCAGAATTATATGTGCATACAAGTGAAGTAAGAGTAGTTGTTCAATAGCGTAATCGATAAGCGTATTGGATTTTCACACTCGTGACCTGTTTCAATTCCCAATGTGTCCAAAATATGTTTAATCCATTTTCAGCTCGATTTTATGGGTTATTTTTCGGAATCGGACGGAAGACCTACTCGTTGCTCGCAATGAGATCGTTTCTAGTTCTTTTTATTTTTAGTAACAACGCCAACACCATTCACCGAAATCAAAAACCAATATACAGAATTATGTTTCGTAATGTAGTCTACTTTTATGCCAAGTTATATTGAAATCATACCAAAACTGTAGGATGAGTAGCATTTTGAAAGAATTTCATAGAAATTTCTATTTTTAGTAATAACGCCAACATTGTTCGTCGAAATAAAAAAAACGATACACAGAATTATGTATATTAGTGTACTCTACCTGTGTGCCAAGTTATATTGAAATCAGACCAAAACTGTAGGAGGAGTAGCATTTTGAAAGAATTTCACTGAAATTTCTATATTTATTAACAACACCAACAGCGTTCGTCGAAATCAAAAACTGATACAAAAGTTATGTATCTTAGTGTAGTCTACTTGTATGCCAAGTTATATTGAAATCAGATCAAAACTGTAGGAGGAGTAGCATTTTGAAAATTGTTTACAGACAGGCGGACGGACGCCGGATGCATTACTATCGCATAAGCTCTTCTGGTTTCTGACCATGTATGTGCATAACTACTTTCTATTTCTGTAGCCATTTGTAAACCGGAAACAACTATATTTTATTTTTAGAACCAAACATGATCATAAATCAGAACATAGAAATCCGGAATATAAAATGTCAATTAGTAAATTATAGATACATGACATCCTCCCTTTTTTAAAGCAATAATCACATCAATTAACAGTAACTCAGTTTCAAAGCAATCATTAAACAGTCAATGAATATTGAAATCTGAAATCATGTAAAGACTTAACTGAACTTTAAAGTTTACAAAACTTTTGAAACTACATTTAAACTGGTTGCATAACATAGTCTGCAAATTTGGATGAAACTTTCACAGTAAGTCCTGATCTGGTTTTGACGGTTTCATCAGGAGTTTGTTTTGCGCACTCGTGAGACTCTGAAGACGGCTTTAGCGGAACATGTTCTTCAGCACTACTCTCTGGAATCTGGAAATCGAAATCCTCACTGACTTCCTGTGTGGGTTTTACGGAATTTGTCTTTTTCAGCATACAGCGGTTTCGACGATACTTTTTCCCATCACACGATACGATAAAGGATTTTGGTAGTGGTAGTTTGGATTCCACGGTCGCGTGTCTCCATGTTTTGCCATCTTGTAGCATAACGTTATCTCCTGTGTCCAAATTCGGAAGACTCTTAGTTCCTGTGCGATCATAAAATTTCTTGTACTGCAACTGTCTGGCTTGTTGTTTCTTCTGCATGTTGTTGTTCTTAGGACGAAGTAGATCTGCTGCAATAGATAAGTTTGTTTTCAGACGACGTCCTAGAAACATCTGTGAGGGTGACTGTCCTAGCCCTTGGATTTCTGTGTTGCGATAATCCATCAATGCTTTGTAAGGGTCTGTGTTTTTCTTGAGAAGCCGCTTGACTGTCTGCACCATTCTCTCCGCCTGTCCATTAGATTTAGGATACAATGGACTAGATGTTGTGTGTGTAAATCCATACTCTTTGGTAAAATCTTTGAACTCCTTGCTCGCATACTGAGGACCATTGTCTGATACTAACTCATCAGGAATCCCGTACTTGGAATACATGCTTTTAAGGGAGTTGATGACTTGTAGTGATGAAAGGTCTTATAAGATGATTGTCTCTGGCCATTTCGAGTATTAGTCTACAGTAAGTATGTAATGGTTCTGCTTGTATACAAAAATGTCAGATGCTATCTTGGACCATGGACAATCTGGTAACACTGTACACGTCATTGGTTCCTTTAGATTTGAATTCTGAACTTCAGCACAAGTTATACACTGGGATACTTTATCCTCTATTTGTGCTGCAATGCCCGGCCAATACATAGACTCCTGTGCTCTACTCTTGCACTTAACGATACCAAGATGAGATTCGTGAACCAAGTCTAACATTTTCTGCTGCCTCGATTTTGGAATGATAAGTTTACTGCCTTTGAACAGTAGTCCATCTACATGTGATATTTCATCCCGAAATGTCCAGTATGGAAGAAGGTTTGATGGTAAGCTCTGTTTACTGTTGGGCCATCCTAACAGTACTGTATTGAGTAGCTGTTGTAATGTTTGATCCTGAGAAGTTTCTTGTTGAAATTCCTTGTAACGATCAGGTGACATCGGTAAGTGTCTGTTGAGCGTGATATTGTTGACATCAACTTCAGGTATCAACTCTTCTCTGGTTTCATCAAGATAGTGTCGACTCAAAGCATCAGCAACAAACATAAGTTTGCCAGGTTTGTACTCAATCTTTAAGTCGTATTTCTGAACGGCTAGAAGTAGTCTTTGTAAACGCAAAGGTGCTGCTAAGAGCGGTTTCTGAAAAATAGACTGTAATGGTTTATGGTCGGACTCTACAGTTACTGATCTACCATAGATGTACTGATGGAACTTTTGACATCCAAAGACAACTGCTAATGCCTCTTTCTCTATCTGTGCTTAATTTCTTGGAGACGCTGTCAGTGCTCTTGATGCATACGCAATGCGTCTACCTTGTTGTAAGATAGTTGCACCAAGTCCTTTTGAACTTGCATCCAATGGGAGTGTTAGTGGTAGTCCTGGGTTGTAGTATGCTAAGATCGTAGCTTTGGTAATCATGGCCTTGAATGTCTCAAAACTGATATCTTGTTCCTTTGTCCAATTCCATTCACAGCCTGACGAAGTTTCAGTCAATTTGCGTAGTGATGCACTTACATCAGATAGTCTTGGAAGAAACTTTCCTAAGTACTGAACTAGTCCTAAAAAGGTAAGTAGTTCCTGTCGATTTTCTGGTTTCTGCATCATTACAATAGCTCTCACTTTTTCTGGATCAGGTTTCACTCCATTTTGGGTAAGTACTTGTCCTACATATTTCACTTCAGTTTTATGCACTTCACATTTCTGCCTACTGAGCTTCAAGTGGTACTCTTTCGCACGCTGTAAAACTTGGTGTAATCTCTGGTCATGTTCTTCAATCGATGATCCCAAACCAAAATATCTTCAATGATGACCTCTGCAACAGTTATGTCCTCCAACATGTGTGACATGATGTTCTGGAATACTTCGGACGCAGACTTTATACCAAATGGCATACGCTTGAATCGGTATCGCCCGAATGGTGTGTTGAACGTACAAAGTCTCGAGCTAGCTTCGTCTAGTTGGATTTGCCAGAATCCACTAACGGCATCTAATTTTGTGAAGTACTTTGCCTGTGACATATTCTCAATGACATCCTCAACAGTTCGTAACGGAAAATGTTCACGTTGAATTGCATTGTTGAGATCCCTGGGATCAATACATATTCGGATTTTGGATCCTTTATTCACAACAGTCATGCTGTTCACCCACGGAGTTGGTTCTGTCTGTCGTTCAATGACTCCCAACTGTTCCATTCTCTGTAATTCTTGATGAACTTTGTCTTTTAATGAGATAGGTATCTTGCGTGGTGGATGTATGGTAGGTGTTATCGACGGATCAAATTTTATTGAGTACTGTCCAGGTAAGCATCCTAACCCTTCAAATAGTTCTGCATATTGAGGTTCACTCAAAATGTCTTTTCCAGATGACTGATGTTTGTCCTTGTTAGATCCTAGTTTGCAGGAAATAGAATTCATACATCTCAGTAGGTCAAGTTTACAACAAGTCTCAGCTCCGAGAATGTTTGGTGCATTTCTGTTGACAACGTAAAACTCTATTGCATGAGTTTGGCCATTATATTGCAACGGTATTGTTGTCATACCATCTGTGATGATTTTATGTCCAGAGTAAGATGTAAGCGAAGCTTTCGGTTTCTCTAGGGGTGACATCTTAAGTTTGTGATATGTGTCTCTAGTGAGTACATTACACTTTGCACCTGTATCCATGAGAAACTGTACATCTGTGTTGTTCAACTGTAAAGTTGTCATCCAATTGTCTATGGTGTTGACATCAACATGTCCAGTGTCAATCATTCCTAGGAAAAATGAATCTTGACAGTCCGAGTCATTCTCGTCGGATTCATCCAGCATGTTCACTGAGCGACTCTTAAATTTTCCTGGACGCTTTCCATGGAATTTTCCTCGCTGCGCTGGTTTCCCTCTATGAGCATAATGTCCTCCTCGTGTGCGGTTATATGTTGCACTAGATTCACAAACACGTTCAAAGTGGTTTCTCTTTCCACAACCTGAGCAGACTTTGCCAATCGCTGGACACTTCTCACCATGCTTGCGCTTCCTATATCCACACTGTCTACAATTTGGATTGTCTAATTGTTCTCCTTTGAACGACTGTTTTGCTGTGATACGGTTCACTTTATTCATCACATTACCTGTGGTATTTCCTTTAGGTTCGTCATTCATTGTTTTGAGTTGAGCTCTCGAAAGTTCATATAAATTTGCAATGTCTATAGCCTGTGCTAACGTCAGGTCACTTCCTGTTGTGATCAACTTTTCTCTTATTTTGGCTGAACGTACACCAAACACTACTCTGTCTCTTATCATTTCATCTGGATTTGTGTAACCACAGTCTTTCGCTAAAACTTTTAGAACTGTCACGAATTCTTCACGTCTCATTTTCTTGCTGAGTTCTACACTGAAATTTGTATCTTGAGAACACTTTGTTACTTTTCGGCTGAAAGTAGGCCTGAAATTTCGTGTAATATGTCTCTAGTTTCTTTTTCTCATCATTTGTAATGTGCCAGGTACTGTAGACATCCCTACCTTTTTCGCCTACCCAGATCATGAGGTAGTTACATTTTTCTTCCTCGGATTTTTCTTTCAACGGTCCGTTGAACATAAATTCTGTGTGAGCCTTGAATTTTTGTCCATGTTCCCGGAAGATCACCACTTTTCCAGTCGATTTTCGGGGTTGCGCCAATAAGAGACTCCATATTTCTCTTTCTCGAGTGATTAAGTCGAGGAATGCAAACTTTGTGAGTTGTGATGACGCTCTAAACATATGATATAAGCCACTTTCTGACACCATGTCGTGTTCACATGTAAGCAGCCATTTTTAAACCGGAAACAACTATATTTTATTTTTAGAACCAAACATGATCATAAATCAGAACATAGAAATCCGGAATATAAAATGTCAATTAGTAAATCATAGATACATGACACCGCCCTAGCCCCGGGGTCAAGATTTGAACAAACTTGAATCTACACTACCTGAGGATGCTTCCACATGAGTTTCATCTTTCCGGGCCCTGTGGTTCTTGAGAAGAAAGTTTTTCAAAGATGCTATTATTTTTTCACAAATTCTCTACTATTTCCCCTTGAAAGAGTGCGTGGCCCTTCATTTGAACAAATTTGAATCCCCGTTCCCCATGGATGCTTTGTGGTAAGTTATGTTGAAATTGGCACAGTGGTTCTGGAGAAAAAGATGAAAATGTGAAAGGTTTACGGCAACAACGACGACGACAGACAATGGACAAATTTCGATCAGAAAAGCTCACTTGAGCCTTCGGCTCGGGTGAGCTCTAAAGAACAATAGGGACTGCAAATGCAGATCCCTGGTATTCTAGAAAACAGTTCAATTGTACCTTCAATAACAGGTTAGTTGGCACAAAAACTTAACTTTCCTGAGACAAATTTCCACTTGCTCTAGGCAATGGGAAAGCATAATTCTAACCCCCCACACCCTCCCTCCTCAATTGGGCAAAATTTATACTTTTGGCAGCGGGTAACAGTAAATACTATTTTCCAAACATATCCAACAGTAAACACTTCAAATGTTGTAATATGTTTTCAATATATGACCAAGGGGTCTGAACCATAGGCTTTGAGGCCAAGAATTTCTAAATTAAGGTTGAGGGCTTGGTGTTCATTACAATGATGTGAACAGTTTGTCAACTGGATATCATCTAGTAAAGAAGACACTATTCAAATATGAGGCCTGAACACTTCCATGACACAGGCCTTTACATCGCTTTTATCTGGCTGACAAAAAGTAAAGGCATGGAACATCTCAGATTGGATACCGAATTACATCAGTGAAATACTAATATTCGAAACGATTTAATATCACATGTATACTTTCTTTTCAGATACATTAACATAATTATAAATAGTCTACATTACTGCCAAAGTTCATTCTGAAATTCCACATACTTCCTAAGATGCTGTAATCAATTCCAAAGTTGACCCATATTCCTTCGAAATTAGGAAACAGTACTGAAATCATAAGTTCTTGGGAACTTAAATATTACTGAACAAGAGGTTTTGTCTGACCTTAAACTTGCTGGTTTGCCCCCCCCCCCCCCTTTGCAGGCCCCACGAAGGCAAGGACCTTAAAATTCACAATATACGTTCTCCTTTACTAGGACATAACAAGGTTCCTATACACCGATACTGGCTGAAATTTGTTCAACATTCCAAAGTCTATGACCGATGGACAACAAACAAAGCAAATAGCAATAGCTCTTCCAAGTAACTCCAAGGACCTAAATAAAGTGAACTAAAACATGACTTTATTATGTGTTTTTCTTTGAGTAAAATAATTATCTTTAAACTCTATTTCTGACAACTTCTTCCCAGAACACGTCCCCACCATTTTTCTCCTGTATGATCAGCAATTTTGCAATCTCAATCCGTTCAATGGAACTAGATGTGCATCACTAGTAAGGCCCCACCATTTTTCTCCTGTATGATCAGCAATTTTGCAATCTCAATCCGTTCAATGGAACTAGATGTGCATCACTAGTAAGGCTCATGTACCTTTTCTGTATGCCCTAGGTGATTGCACAGCCACCTAAATTCCTCATCTTTCAACCCAATAACTTGTTGGACAACACTGATGTAGTATCTATACCAGTATATAAAGTCAAGTATAATGTTATTTCATTTGTAGAGGTTCCAGACATAAACTTATTGTAATTACTGCTTGTGTTCTTACATCAACCTTAATCAGCTGCATGAGAATTGTTATAATACATGTTAGCACAGACTTATAACACACTTAAAAGATCTGATGTACAAAATCATATGCATCTACAAAAGCACCGTGTATATCCCAACATGCGGGGTGTATACTATGTTGCGTGGGGTGTATGCTTCCGAAGCGAGAGAAAGGGGGTCAATGTAGGTTCTTTGTCCATTTTCTCAATTTACGGATATTTTTCGCCAGAAAGCATATGCCTACGGAAGAAAGCATTATCTAAGGAGTATATGGATACCAATGAATCCACTGGATATCTTCTAGTTTTATCAAACACCTCAACATAATTCCGAGGATCGGAGCAAGATTGACGCTATACTGTGTTTATGATCAAATATCAGAAGAAAGCTTTGCTTTATCATCACTTTTATGTTATTGTTAAATACATGTTTACTATATAAATGTTTGTACAAATTGTCTCTTAATAAGACAGTTCGTATATAAAGATATTGACGAAAAATCAATGTTGTGTCCGGGGTGTATGCAACATGTTGTACGCGGGGTGTATACCCCATATTTTTCTTACGATTGTTAGTGCGAAGTATCTATGGAAATATTATTTACAAAAGTTTATAGGCGACAGGTAGTGTTGATAAAGACCTTAATACTAATGCCGAACCTAAAAGTAAAGTCCATAAACTTACTGAAGTATAAAACAAATTAACTAAATTAAAAAAAAAAATAAAGGAATAAAAAAAAATAAATAAAAAACAAACAAGCATATTCAAACATAATAGGTGCTAGATGTGTAAGGAGCGATTGATATCTGAATTAATGCTACATTGTATAGATGGCGCAATGTTCTAAATCTACGTAATCATAACATATCCCCCCTCCTCTATCACTGCATTGAGGACATTTGTCCTTTCTTCGGATCGTTTTAATCTAAATATTTAGCCTGTTAAAAATAATAGTAACACTACATGAATGGTGTATTATGAATAAATCTCTTTTTTGTTTCTGCACCTTTATGTTATCAATACATGTTTTCTTAAGCATTTATGACACTGATCAGAGATGTAGAATCTATTTGAAGGGGGGGGGGGTACCTAAAAAAACATTGACACAAGTTGACTGGCTATAAGAATTGGGGGGGGGGGGCTTATCGAATCTCAAAACTCCTATTTCAGATGGGATTGAAGGTCCCATATTTTTTCAGTAACAATTCTCCTTTTTTTTACTACATAATCATTGTGTTTGGCTATGCTGCAAGAAAAGGCTGGATGGGGTCAAGAAAAAAAACGTCCAGAAATTCAAAGTTAAAATATACAAATAAAAAGTGTTTGGAGCTTTTAGCTCACTTTGACATATCCAAGGTATTAAAATAGCATAAACTCAGTGGCATTACCAATTTGTTTACAGATCTGTATTTTCCTTTTAATTCTTAAAAAGTAATCTCAGTTCAATGATTTGAACTAATATGAAAACTACTGAAGCTAAAAAAAAATATGTGTGGTTCCGGTTACCCGACATTCCTTATTTTATACCCCCGACCATAATTTGTTTTTTAAACCAGACATTGTTTTTCAAATAATGGACTAACAATTATTAAAAAAAAAAACGTTAGTCAGCATTTGACTCAATGATAAATTGTATTTGCTAAAAAGGTAATTGTATCAACCATAGAACTAACGAAATGATGACTTTAAACGAGACTGCTGATATTCTTGTTTCATTAATTCGCCTGTCAATAATTTACCCCGTTATAGAAATTGCTCATACGTAGAACATGCTCTTGGGTATCGAATCAACTTAATATACATTCAGTATGACGTTGATGAAGGTATATTGCTGCAACGGAGGTTGACGAAAGGAAAGTTAAAGTCATCACGTTTAACATATAGCTTGGTTGTAAGGTTACCATTAACGTAATTAAAATATCCAAGTATGAAACAGATGTGTCAGACTCTGTGGTATCTTTTATCTCAAGCTCTCCTGGATATATCGTATCGACTTTGGAATGGAAATAACCATTGCTAATTGACAATATGTCGTCGATATATCTGAGGGTCGAGTTGAAGGCCACAGCAAGTGTCCTCAACAGTCTTTCGGTTTGATGGTTTTTTTTTTACCGTATCAGAACTTTAAAATTTCCTCCAGGGAAAATAAACTCTCGGAATCCGGCTCTTAGATTGCTTTGTTCAACAATCTCTTAAGGTCTCCTTCCTTCCTTGAGGAAATTTGAGAGCCTGTGGACTCAAATATTCCATTTATAGGGAGTCGCCCGTGTGGCGCAGTGGTTAGAGCGTCTGCTCTAGAGTAGCGAAGTAAGGCCACGCCAATTAAATTTCTTGTTCGTCGGATATTTGATGAAAAACCTACGAGCGGGCTAGCGGCAAAATGATAATATTATAATTTTATTGTAGGCTAAATTTTTAAGCGGGGCGTAAAAAAAAAATTGAGCGGAGAATTATTTTTTTTCTGATTTACAGTAAATAGATTAAAAGTATGATGAAAAGAGCGGAAATAGAACAGAAAACCGCAGAAAATTCCCATAGTGCGGGTATTTTAAATTTATATTATTTGTATAGTTCTATTTAAATACGAGCGCGCAGGTCCGTCG